GTGGTTCAGCATCCCTCGGCCCCCGCTCTTCGGAGCTGCCGCCGCTCCCTCTTGCTGCTGGAGGGCAGTGCCTGGCGCCCACCGCGCTTCCCTTTGGCATAGGGGTGTAGAGGAGGAGACCATCACCCGGGTCTTGGGCAGGTCATGCATGCAGAGCCAGGATCCCCAAGCTTTAGACCGTTTTGTGATCTTTCACCTTAACCTCTTGCTCGGGTTAATATTTACTGCGTTACTACTATAAAATAAGTGAACAAATAAAGACACAGCCCATCCGTCTGCTTCTCTGTTGACTTGACTCCTAAGGGGACACAGCATTCAAGAGAGAACAAACAAATCCATGCGCTTCCCCTTTCCCCAGCACTTACTTGCACACTTATTAATGTCAGGATACCGTGTCCCATAGTATCCGCTTGGACACGAGGAAAGACATACTCCAATCTGTTTCATGCCAATCCTCTCCAGAACAAAAAAGAGCCTGGGCTTACATGACAGGCATCCGTTGTAGTCAGAACATGTAGCACACCCTCCTTGGCAACCCTGGCTCACGTTAGGATGCACTGAGAAGACAAACATTAAAGAAAAAGAAAAACAAAACAGCGAAAGAACAAGATATTAGACAAGACCATGAAATAATGGTTCCTCTGTACTTGGAAGGGTGGACCATCCACCTCACTGACAGCTCTTAAAGATTGCTTCATTTATTCTTGCGTCTCTTATGACCTGACATTTCATTCCAGCAATTATTTCATCTGCATAAAAATGAGAAGCTCAGCTGATGTGCTCACATCTTGCAGAAATAGCTAGCAGCAAATTATATTTGAAATAGATTTTATGGAGCAGCAGCATCCTAGAGAACAGTTATTTTTCTTTTAGTTATTATTTCCAGTGGCTTTTCTGCCCTGTCTGCATTTGGCTCGGCAGATAAATACATGTTCACTTATTTTTGATTTTCCTAGCCGGATGATTAAAAATCAACCTAGTGTATAATTTCCTTCATTGACTAAATGCCATTTGATTGAGTTCTGCTGTGCAAGAATATGTCCTTGTAAGATCTGCCGCTAATTTGCCTTAATAAAAAGACGCAGGAGAGCCATCCTTCTCACCCTCCTTCTTTCCCTGGAATGTTCTCACTGGCATGTTTTTAATCTCTAACAATTGCAACCTGATGTTCAGACTTAACTGTGGGATTTACCCTGCCCCAGTCCCAGCATGGAGCACAGGTAGGATTATATTTGCCTTTCAATTGAATTGTTCTAATTCTTCAGACAAGGAAAGGAAAACTTATTACACTCACTGCTTAAGACTATTCCGTTCTCCTTCAGAGGCTTGGAGGTAGCAGAAAAGAGGATGCTATTGCAGACTGTCTTTTCAGTAGCAGGCATTAATCACTGTATTACTTCTCAGTGGTAGAGAATAAGATTTTGCATCTCCCTGTACTTTACAGGTTGTTGCCTACTTTTAATTCCTTCTTGGTTGCATTCTTAGGAGTCGGGTCTGAAAAATAATTAAGCATCAAATAGCTCCAGACCCTGTGTCCCCTTTTTTTGGCCTCCTCTTTTATGAAAAACCCAGGCATTTTTCTAAACATAAGCTTTAGTCTCAACCTGAGGCATCTGATTATATTGCACATGTAAGAGAAATCCAGTCCTCATTTACATTCTTAAATCCTGCTTGTAAATACTGTTGGCTTCTTGTTCTGCCTTCTCCTCAGGCCAGTGATAATTTTATAAATATGCACGTGCCATACTTTTATTGCCTATTTTAGTGTTTTGATTTTATTTTTATCTGCAGACACTGCTAAATATCTTGCATACACGATGAACTTGCTTTTGTCAGCTGCCTTCTGTGGATCCCTTGGAGACAGACCATAAGCTCATATGAATCCATGGATTACAGGCTGAAAGCCACCACTCTCTGCTAGCTCAGGGGAGTTTACCTGGTGACAGGGAAGTTCAGGAATACCTCTGTACTTTGTTCACTTACAGTTTTGGCAGAAAAGACATGGTCCATGAATGGGAAAAGCACTCCTCTATGCTCTGAGGTTTCCACAACCAGTCCCGCAATCTGAGAAACCTCAAAGGGAGTTCAAGTTCACTTTTCCTCTTTCATTAATAGAATGAGGAATGAGGGTTATTTCTCTCAGTAGGGCTGAACACGTAGGAGAAGAGCAAACTTTGGCCCTGCTGCGGACAAACAATTTCAATGAGAATATAAAACCCCAATTCTCTGTGCCCCCCGAGGCACTCACTTTGTAGAACAACCTGGAGGAAAGTGTTTTTACCAGCAGGACACACGGCTACTATGAGAATAAACAGCATTCTGCGTAGTGAGAAGCTGCAACCCCAATTCAGTGATCAGACTTGGTTTCACTAGGCTCTCAAAATACCGAGTGCACAATCAGCATAGCATATTTTTTTCTGAGAAGATTCCAAAGGTACAGAGTATATTGATTTTGAAATTAAGAGCCTGAAAAACTGGCTTTCTTTTTAAAGTTAAGTAAATGAAAATGTCCTTGTCTCTCTCTCCCCCGTCTTGTGGCTCTTGTATGAAGCTACTTTCAAAGGCAGATGCAATAACATGGCCTAAGAAGCTGACATTATTTAAAAACTATCCATGACTTACTTTCATTAGTCTGACAGAGGGAAGAAAAAGCAGCTGAAGTACAAAAAATTTGTCATCAAAGCTGCGATATAAAATATGGATGATCACTTTTGACGGGAAATGTATTATGTGTGAGCACCTGTGACATGTCATTATGAAAAGATTCTCTTGACAGAGAAAACATGATGTGCAACTGCTCTGAGGTCAAGCTGTGTGCATGAGGCCTTGAGATGGGCAATACTTGGTTACCGAAAGATGGTAATTCTCTATAGCTAAGATCCATTACATGGCCAATTTCCATCTCCCCTTTAACTCCAGAAGTATCAAGTATAAAATAAAATGTACTCCTAACAATTTTCACAATTTCTGCCTCCTTTCACGCATCCCAGATATATCTCATACAAATAATATAGACAAAAAAAAAAAGAAAAAGAAAGCCTGTAGTTCCAAATGGAGAATCATGTTGTTAGTATTTCGGAGCAAGGAATAAGTTAAAATATGTAAGTCAAGCTCCATTTAAAGGTTGATTTCATGCCATGTTATAACTGTGAAGCAAAACAAGCTCCTGTTCTTGGAAATGCATAGAGCAAAAGTCTTGTTGAAAAGTCAGAATTGACATTTTAAATGAAGACAGACTTTTTTTTTCTCTTAAAAGCTATTAAAGGGATCCTTTTTTGATTGTCTCCTATGGTGCCTGGCATTTCTTTGAGCCCTGTATCTGTGTAATGAAGCTGTCTCTCATTGCGCTTGCTCTGAATGCAAGGTAAACCCTTAGCCTGGCTCAGGCAAGAAGCAAAGCAGGGACAGCTGAGTGCTCTAGAAATTGGTACTGTTTGAAAGCCCAGCACTGGGCTTTGTCATTGAACCTGGGAGAAAATAAATAGTGGAGGAAAAATATTTGTGTCTAGAAAATGAGGTAGTGTGTTTTGAAATAAGGTATCTCCAAGCTCCAGCTGAAGATCTCATTCCTGTTACCTCCCAGCCTTCTGCCTCTCCAGTTCAGACCCAGGCGCTTGCCTGATCCCTGCAATGTAGGGGCCAGTCCCTCCCCTCCTGCAGGGGCCAAGTGGTGTTGAAGGGATTTCAGAAGGAAAGAGGGCAAACTCAGGCTCTGAAACATCTTTCTTCCACAGGGAGGGAACTTATCACTGCTGGGTACAGAACTGGCCCTTACTATTCCTCTCTCATTGCAGCAAGGCATTAGTGCCTGCAGATCTCAGCAATTCAACAACTGCAAACCATAACCATGAAGAAGAAACCAGAAGTTTTACCCCTTTTTTTCCCCATATCAGACATTGTGAGCTCAGAGTTTAAGCGGTGTGCCACAACAAGCTGGGAACAGCAGCAACCCCATCTGGTGAAATTCGGACATGGTACAGTCAGCACTACTTCACGTTTCCATACTTAGGTCACCAGTTCTGGGTAAGCAATGTATATCTACTTGAAAAAACGCTTTGAAATCTACAGGTAAAAAAGCCCTAGGAGAGCACAGACCGCTCGTTAGCCACAGGTTTTGGATGTGGTAAGCGGGGCAGAGAGAGGTCCAGTCCCTTGGCAGAGGGGCAGGCACTGCAGCCTCATGGGTTAGGCACTGGCTGCAGAACCAGGAGGTCTGGGCTTTAGCATCACAAATAGGTCCAAGAAATGCTCTTGCTTGTAACCACTTAGTCTTTGGTGCAACCTGATTCATTAAAAGGCAAATAAAATGAAATATAAAAAATACTCCACAACCCTCAGAATTTACTTCAATGAGGATGAAGTATTTTATGCCTGGGCTGTTAGGAGAATTGTCTGTCATTAGAGATGATCCTACCAGCCATCGAGCAGTCTGCCCTCTTGTATTCAAATACTCTGAGCACAGTGAAATTCTAGACTCTCAAGGATGGAAAATACAGCCCAGCAATGGGCAAAACAAGGGGTGGGAGCACAGAAATCCACAGACAAGTTCTTCCCTATCTCTTACACAAGCGTTAGCCAGGCCTGCTGATTCATCAGGTACAGAGTACGTATGTGCAGGCTCATGATTGGCTTTAGGTCCAGAATCCACCCCTCCATTTTTCTTTTTATAAAACCTAAATACTGGAGATCAGAGAAGACACTAAGTTAATCTTGAACTGTTCTCTTCCCCTGCCTGGCTTTAAGCCCTCTTTGGCTTAGAGGCCTTTTTTTGTGCAAGCTGTTTGTCCAGATATTAATTTTAAGCCTTATTAGCAAATGAAATCGCTGGGGATTTTCCTTTCTCAGAATATTTTCCAAAGCCCTGATCTGGAAACAATGAGTTGTGGTCTCTTTGTTAAAAATAGAAAGTTAGGGACAGGGAGCTGAATTTGAATCTGAACTTTCAATGACGATACGGTAGGAGATTTCGATGGCATGCAGCAAATACATCCTAAAACCTTTGCAATGAAATTTTTCTATCAGTTTTACTTTATTTACAGATTCAGATTTATGGGATTAAAAAAAAGAAAGTAAGAAAATGCAGGAGGAATCCATGTGGGCTTATGTTCTGACAGCCAGGAGAAAAGCTTGGGGTAGAAGAATATTCTTTGCCCATTTGCTGCAGCTGAGGTGCACTGTCTCATCACCGATCTTCAATGACAAGGTGTCCATTTAGAGGCTCGCTTTTGAAATGGATGTGCTAGACATATTAAATCCATCCCTGCTAGAGAGCTGCTGCTACTCCTGGTTTCTCAGGCTTGCGAATTCTCACAGGAAATATTTTCACAGCAGAGCTGCTCTGGAATTCAGCCTCCCTGGTTGGGCTGCCCCTCGCCACGAGCCCCAGACCCTGCCTCGGCTTTGCCCACCACACGGCACCTATGAGGGCAGTAGCCCTTGTAATGGGTGGGGGTTTGGGATGGGATATCCCATGGGTTCTTGTGTTGTTTGATCGCTTCATGTGTTCACTGGCATTCATTTCGCTTTCTCTCGCCTAGTGTGAAGCAGCTGCCTGTGG